GCAGCTGTTTTGTGGCTTTGTTTCAAAGGTGTTCTTAGGTAAGAAGAAGTAATATTTTTGGCGCTCACAGATACTCAGTGTAAGCCCTTAGTCTCGTGACAAGCCCTGAAGGAGAGAAGTCCTCTTTACTGAGAAATACAGTCTTTAAAATACAGCTCCTCCTCTGCCTTCCTCAGTGCGGTTCCATCCCAGTAAACCAAGTTGAACATATTGTTAAATCACAAACACATTTTAATACATCATAACTTAGCCGAGCCTGCCTTAAAGATTCTCAGAACATGTACATTAACTTACAGTTGGCAAAATCATCTAACACGAAGCCTGGTTTATAATAAAGTGTTGACTGCTTCATGGAATTTACTGAGAACTGTACTGAAAGTGAAAACCAGAGTGGCTGTAAGTGTGTGGAAAGTTGACGCTGCGATCGCGAGCGTGGGTGACTCGGAGCTGTGGCTTGCTGCGGCCCCCTGCTGCTGCTGCTGCTGCCCGGGAGAATATCGTACTGTGTTGCTAGCCCGGGAAAAGATCAAAATTCAAAGTCCGGTTTCTACTGAATGCATATCACTTTTGCACAATTGTAAGTCGGAGATTGGCTGTAAAAGATATTTTAACTGATGTGCACAGTAACCTGGTGAATTAGATGATTTTAACAGTGAAGGATGGGACGTCTCCAGTGATTTAATGTCCAACATGGCTTTTTATTACTATCTATGGACATAGTGGGAAGCATCATTGAGGCTTTAAAGAAACTATTAAAAAGTGGTTATAGATAAAGGGGAGTTTTGGCATTGGGGTCAGATCTGAGTTCTCTAATTCCTGGCTGTGCCCCTTTACTAGCTGAGTCACTTGACCGTTCTGAGTCTCCAAACTTCTGTAAAATATATTACTTTACAGAATTATTTACTTCACCAATTTATGAGGAATCGAAAAAGATGATTCATATCAAAAGCTGTATATCACCTAGGAAAGGTAAATCCTGTGGCTTAAATTGATCTCAGTTTCCATCCAGGTGCACTGTGACTGGGTCCTCTGCTCAGGATCTGAAGGCTACAGCAGGTGTTAAATCACTGGCATTTTCATCAGGTGACTTGGGAATTACCCACTCCAAACCTGTTTAGATTGTTGGCGGAATTCATCCATTCTCTGTGGCTGTAGGACGGAGAACCCAGACTTCCTGGCTGGAGGGACCCCTTAGTTCCTTACCACCTGGGGTCTCCCAACTTGGTGCTCACCGTATCAAGCCAACAGATCTCCAGAGCCAGTTTACTAGGGAGGCGAGTCATTTTGCCCACATTCAAGTGGAGAGGGTTACACGATCAACACCAGGAGCTGGGTGTGGGGTTGCGAGGGACACCGCAGAGTTTTGTCTGCCACACCACCTTTTTTTTTTTTCTAACTGAACTACTTGAAACTGGGCCTCTTTGCCCTATGATACAAGCACTTTGTATAGCAAGTAAAAAGAAAAACTGCTCCCCTGTTATGAAACACTTACCATGGCGGGCCTGCACCTTTAAACAGTGTTTAAACAAACTTGCAAAGTCGAAAGCAAGACAAAACCTGTTCACAGGTAGTGAGTGGAGATGCAAAGCGGTCAGGCAACATAAAATCAGCTTTCCTGATTCGAAAGCCTTCGCTCTCCAAGCTGGACCCTGCCCCCACTACAGTAGTGGTCCCATCCTCCCCTGCATTGGGGTGGTTCCCTGGGGCTCTTCTGAAAGCTGGGAATCAGGTACGTTTCACCCTTGCAAGGAGGATGACCTTACTCTGTCGAAGTCAGTGAATTGAATTTTGCTCATTTCGATGTTGAAAGTGCATATTATATGCTATCTTCTTCTGGAGAAGATAGTCTCCAGGAGATTTAGCAAAACAAATGGACCTTCTAAAAATAAATGAAGGTAGCCAGAACGAACTGCTCCCTCTGTAGGGGAGAATGGACGATACCTCTTGAACAGCGTCCCTAAGCGCAGTTTCCCAATCCCCCAGATTTAGCATTGTGCTGCCGCGGCTATCATTTCTGTGTGATGTTCAGTGAACTGAGAAGGGAGGAGAAAGCCAAACCGGATCAAAGATAGATAATTTCACAGGCTCATGTTCGCAAAGAAAGGGATCTGAGGGTTCTAACAATTTCTCGGGCTATGGAGTTTGGTTACTCATTGTGATCAGGAGAATGCTGTAGGTTTCAAGTATCTTGCACCCTGGTTAGAAACTGCTGTTATTGTATGTCGAGCAGGGGGGTCTTGGACATACTGAGTTGCAGGCTTCAGAGAAAAAGAGTTTAATCTTTAGAGAGACTTAAGAGATTTTGGCAAAGCCTGTCTTTTGTCCCAGTGTCTGAAACGGAGGTGGGAGGGTGGAATAATTTACTGTTTTAGAACTTCAATTCTCTACACTTCTATAGATTGCACTGTCTTTAACATCGTCCAGGTATTGATTTTTTTTGTAAGTGCAAGGAAGAGTGGTTGTTTTAGGTTTATACTTACATCTCAAACATTAAGATTAAGTGGGGAAAGGTACAGCCCAAGTGGTAGAGTGCATGCTTAGCGTGCATGAGGTCCCAGATTCAATCCCCAATACTTCCATTAAAAAAATTTTTTTAAAAATAAATAAACCTAATTGCCCCCACTTCACACACACAAAAAGAAACTAAAAAAAAATTAAGATTAAAAATCTCAAGATTCTTCAGCAAGTCACTGGTAGAGTTAAAATAGGAAACTGAGCAATTACATTTTTTTTTTGAAGGTAACAAGCATATTCTTTGCCTCCCACCACCTTTACAATCCACTCCAGGGTTAATTTTGTCCCCACTACCCCAAGGATCACTGATGGCTTTTTCTTGGGGAATTCCAAGGCCCTCCTTTCCCTCAGCCAGCCTCTTAACAGCACTTGATACAATTAATAGTTTCTTTTTTGAAACATTCTTGGCTGACGGCACCACTGTGCTCAGCTTTCCTACTTCAGAGGCTCACTGGCCCAGGGTTCATCCTCAGCCCTCTTCCCAGACCATCTCCATTCCCACTGTCCCAAATACCATCAAAAATATGCCGCATCCCCAGGTCTATCTCCAGAACTTGTTACTTACCAGGGTGCTGGCAGGCAAATAGATGGCTTACTGAAATAGGACAATTTGGGGAAAGTTTGGTAAAGGGACTTTTACAAAGCTATGCAGGTGGCAGAGGGAAACCCCAAGGGAGAGTGCGGTTCTGGGCTGGCAACACTGGGGCTGGTAATGTCTGGGTGTAGCTGCCACCTCTAGGTCTGGAGGGCTGAGGGAAGGGAGTAGTGAATGGAACCAGGAGACAGGCTAAGTGAAAAGGGTAGGAGCCGGGGGGTGGGGGAGAGGCACAGGAGTAAACATTCCTGTCACTCTGCAGATCGGCCCACTCCATCATTAGTGCCTTCTCGAAAACTGTTTGTTCCTTCTGACCCATTTCCCCACCATCCTATGGCCAAGGTTAACCGTCAGGTATCAGCTTAGGCACCAACTCAGGGAAGGCTTCCAGAATAACCAATACCCACCCAACACACACACACACACAGAACTGTATGCTAAGTAGGTTCCACGAAAGCAGGAACCATGCCTCCTTTTCACCACCATAGTGCCCAGGGTCTAGCGCAGTGGTAATTAGTACATGAGGAGCACACCACAGATCTGTTAATTGACTGATTACCATTTTCTATTTTCATAAGTCATGTTCATAGAAGAGTTGAATTTATGCTAATGGCTTGATGAATGTCAAGAATTAAAAAAAATTTTTGACTTTGAAAATGTTTAAATATGCAGAAAATTTGAAAGGATGGAACAATAGTATAAATTTCCCCTAGATCCACCAGCTATTAGATTTTGCCCCAAGCACTTGGATCTGTTTCGTTGAGTCATTTGAAAGTAAGTTGTGACAATGGGACACTTCATTCCTGAATACTTAAGCATTCGTCTCCTAGGAAGAAGAATGTTCTACACCTGTAGGTGTGTCAGTGCAGTTAACAACAGCTCAGTAATATCCGATATGATAGATCTGCACTGAGTAATTGCCCCTGTTGTCCCAATATGTCTTTAAAATTTTTTTTCCTAATCTAGGATCTAGTCACAGTTCATACATACATTTGGTTATGTCTCTCTTCTTTCAA